TCAGGGAGCGCAATGTAAATTAATATATAATACTAAATGATACGTGTGCAAATGCAAAAACGTATTGAATGAATTTTAAAATGTATATTTGTTGTTTTATTAGTTATGCAGTATTTGCAAAAAAAAGTGTGTGCGTCTTTGACAAAAGATTGAAAAAAAAAAACTAATAACATGAAAGTTTTAAAGAGACAGACATTGGAAAATATATAAGAATGTCGGTGGTGAGACTTTTACCTTCAAAAATTTAATTGCGTTAGACAGAAAGAAATCCGGCCACAGAGGAGAGAAACGTCACAAACATGGCATTACTTTGACAGGGCATTAACATAAAATTATATTGTGCTGAATACATTTACTATGTATTTAAAACACTGGGGTACGCAAGTGCAAACTCTGTGACCAGATGTATTCCTGTAAATTAGGACTGACTCATGTAGAAATTACCCTAGGTTCTAGATTCCAGTATTGCCAGCTCGATCTTGATTTCATATATAACCCATATCAGCAATACCGGTAAAAGCGACTCCATCACAAGTTATATTTAATTACAAGCTAGCTTTTACGTTGCTCTGACACTCAGGGTAGTAGAAATCCACAAATGTGACAAATGTCTCTACTAGCTATTTCAGTGTGAGACAGTTTTTACCCGAAAGGTAAAATGAATAAATTTAGCCCCGAACAGAAATTTTGAACATCATGAAAGAATTCACGCTAAGACAGAGACCAATTTTACAAATGCCAGTACTATAATAAGACATTTCCTTGTAAAACAGCTTGCGATAGTCACAAAAAAAACCCACACGGGTGAAAAAACATACAAATGTCAGAACTGTATACTGTATAGTTAAGACATTTACTCGTAAAACAACTTACGTTGATATCATGAAAGAATTCGCACTGGTGAGAAATCATTTAAATGCAAAGACTGTAATAAGACATTTACTTGTAAAACAGCTTGCGATAGTCACAAAAGAATTCAAATTTGTGAAAAAAAACATACATTTTCATATAAGAAGGTTAGCTTTAAGCTGAGGGTCCCATTGGGAAGTGTCGTTACGTGGTTGTATTATTGCATTTATAGGCCTATAATTCTCAAGTCCGTGGCTTGCTGTGTTGAGCAATATTAATTTATATTATTATTATTATTATTATTATTATTATTATTATGAAAGAAGAAAAAACGTCATTAAAACTAGGTAAGTATTTGATAATTAAAAACGGCTTTTCCGAAAAGAGCTGTTACTCCAGTTACACTGTAGGCCCACATTCTCGGCTGAACTGATAGCCTAACTCATCAGTGTTTGAAATCACAGCTAAATGCTGCATTTCTTTTAAACTAGTATTCATAGACAATTTTCATTGTTTTGGAAAATGTTTTGCATTTAAAATATACATAAGCTTTTTTTATATTCGAAAAAGCATTTTACTATTCGCGTTGATGAACAGAATAAGTAAATCCAGTAGGCCTATATACAGTAGGGCCTACATGTACATGTACCAGTGCAGGTATTAACCCTTTTCAGGATATAAAGGTTTGTCAAGTCATCACCCTGGGGATTCTTTTTATTATTTGTACTATTCTGACTACAGAAATAAATAAACAAGCAATTGTTATGCATATAGGCCCTAATATGAAAATACGAAAAGCACAAATGCACGTAGGCCTAAATAAAGTATTCCTTTTATACGCATTCATGATGTAGGCCTACTTTACACATAAGATCTAATATACCAGTTTATTAGATCTTAGTTTACGCGCACACCGACGCACGCGCACTCATACTCGGACGTTCGTTCTCTTATAAGCGCGTAGCCTACAGCATAAAAATGATTTAATAATAATAATAATAATACAATGAAAATTGATAGTCGAGAAACTGAAAAACTTTTGAAACACAGCTCGAAAATCGAAATCTAAAGGGTTTATTTCCCTTCAAAAAAAAAATTTGGCAGCCTCTGTGCCCACTGCTTAACAAAGTTATCGTAGGCTACATGCAGGGCCTATAAACCATGAAGCAAAGCAACATTTTTTTCAATGTGATATATAGCCTACATGTAGATTTTGTGTGAAGCAAGAGACCTTGGAGGCTCGGGGTTTTATTTGTTTCAGGCATTTGCACAGGTAAATATGGGCCCCTATAGTTTCCCATACTTGACAAATAAATAAAAAAAATTTGCTTTCCGCCGTACATTTTATTCCAAATAAGATATTAGGGGCTAGTCGTTGAGATCCAAATAGATATAGGCCTAAGTTTTTTTTTTCATGTAAAGGGAATTGAAGCTTATTTCAGAGGGTATGCATACTATAGCACTGTCTGAGTGAACACATGAAGGAGATCTTCGTGATCTTTTTGAACAGAAGCTCACCTGTGGAAATCTATTAGGCCTAATTCTGCACAATGACACTGAAAAAGATGCACTTTACTAAAATCGTCGTATAACATCTAGGCTACATGTCTTTATCAAACTGGCTTGAAATTTTCACTGGAGTAATTACAATTACATGCATATTAATATAACTGTACTCCAAAATCTTCTCAATGAAAAAAAAAAAAAAAAACTTAAAGCTGTCATACCACTAGTGTACAGTATTTTGCATTATTTTTGATTAGGCCTACTATATAGGGGGCCTATAGCTTTAATTTTCAGTAATTTTCAGTATCATTGATATTCAATGCAAAAATAACGCATAAAATGTAGAAGAAATAAGGGTCCTTAAAATAAAAATATATCTTGAAAATAAAGAACATGGTAGTACATGTATAATTTTTGCTGCAAAGTTTTATCCAAATTTCTATGTCAAAATTCATCCTCATTTGAAAAAAAAAAAAAGAGTTAGCATGGATCGCGGCAGTTTTGAATTAGGCCTACGTGTTGTCTGGTGCTAAAACTACACAGCAGTTAATAACTAAATCTTAAGATGATTGACTAGATATTGAAAATAGAACTATTTAAAAGTAACTCAATTTACACAGGCCTTTTCGGGTCTTAATTCTGAGCTGTAAAATAGCGATAGAAAATTGTCCAACCGGAAGTGACATAGGGTAGCTATCATCAAGGTCGGCCATTTGCACCAAACAAAACGATTAGAATAAAAGGGAAAAGTGAAATATACAGCTTAGCGGTTTGTGTTCATCTGTAACTGTATTCTTTAGACGGTAAGTGACACAGTAGCAATGCAGAGTAAGCCATCACATGTTTACAATTTCTATACGTAACTATTGAATTAGCTGGCATTTAAGGACAAAGAAAAAACTTTATCAATCTCAATTTGTCATGTCTTGTCTAAATTGGTCTTGCGGTGATCAACCATGTGTGAGTTTTCCGCATACAAGGTATTGTTACTGTTGTCAATTTGAACTCGGATGCTATATGAAAATAGATTAAATTAGATCTAATAGTGTGGGATAGAATGCCTTCTTTTGGTGAAACTTAAATGAATGTTTGAAAGGATATGGTATTTTGTGTGAACATTTTGCTGTTTTTACATCTAGCTGGCTTTGGATTAGTATGATTGCACTACAGAAATAGGAAACCTTTTTATTGAAGGCATTATCGTCTAAGACTCAATGTATTTAACAATAACATTGTAGAATACATGCAAGCATCAAATTAAACGCGATGATAGAATTTATTATTATAATAATGTCTTAAAAGAGATTGAATTATGGAGTAAAAAGAGGGAGAGAGAGAGAAGTGTGATATCGTAACAGAGCATTTCTGGCTCTCTTTTCTTTATATGTCTGTGAAAATGTATGTATGTACCTACTTCTAGTGGAGATGCCTTATATCTCCTTAAAGTACAGTCAGTTGATGTGCTCATAATTTCTCTTCAGAAAGAATAATCAGTTTATGGAATATTTTAGTTTACTACTCTGCATTTTTCTTTTTTTTCTTCTTTTTTGTTTCATAAGCATGTTTTATTCTTTGAAATAAATGGAAGTACTTTGCTATATGGAATGCATATTAAATGAATAAAAAAACAGTTTTGTTGGGATGTTTCTGATTTTGTAATTCTAGTTTGAGAACTCGTCTGTGAGACTGAAAGCCAATGGTCAGTCCAGTTTGAAGCCATGCTATAGAACATTTAAATATTTCATGAAGCTGGAATTTTCTTTACTTCTGAAATGGACAATTCCACTATTTATCCAAATGTGTTGATTTTATATTCCTTCTCTCTGCTACAGGTCAGTCACAATGCAAGGCTTAGCACCCTGCATATCACTGGTTGTCCTGGTGCTGGGGCTGTTCTATGCCACAGAGGCCTGCAATGAGAATGTGTGCGCCCCGTTGGTCAGCAAGTGTCAGCTGATAGATGCCTGTGAGTGCAACATGGTAGACATGTCCAACTGCACTTGCTGCAAAGGGTGCCACCAGTGTCTGGAAGACCTGTACACAGAGTGCTGTTCCTGTGTTGGTAAGTCATGCTTTGGGGGGGGGGGGATGAATATGGACTATTTAAAATACATGCTGTTGAGGGGTATAACTGTATTTTTGCCTCCAAGTGGTCTGCTTTTCAGTTTTGTTGCCACCACTCATTTAAGAATGAAGTAAATGAAAATACAGCATCTGTAGAATTCACATTTTTCCCACTGAAGAGATTGCAATTTCTCCTTTATTGGACACTTAACAATACAATTAAGAATAAAATTATAGCAGTAATAATGATATGAAAACTTACTAGAAACACAATCAGGGGAACACTTTGATGATGGCAGATTTATACATACTAGTTATATATAGTTATCCATATGTACATTTTAACCATAATACATACTGATGCATAAGATACAATAAATTCTTTTCTTCTTCTTTGACAATGGTGTGGCATTATCACTGTGCATCTTGTAAACTATATGAAGGAGTTGACAAGTTTTGCCTTGTGTTATAATTCCAATCATGAGATCAGAGGTTATCAAGTAATGAGTATGTGTGTAATCCTCTTTATCTTATAGAAATAATGTCCTGGAGCAATTCTTGTCTGAATACAGTGTCTTGCAGTCAGTAATTACATGGCGTTACAATTCCAGGTATGTGTCCAGAGCTGACTCAGGCCAGCATGATGACCAAGACCAGCTCTATAGAGGACCTGGCTGACCCTGTCCCTGAACTGTTCCGTATCCTGACCGCCGAGGAAGACGTCCACATGCGCTGGACAATCCACACATACCCAGCATATCAGGAGCTACCTGGCTTTGTGTACAAACCAGAGGGCTTTGATGGGGTGGAATTTACTATTGATGTTGGTGAGGATTGATTTTTATCCTTGGGACAAAATTATTTTTTTTATTTTTGGCTTAATATTTCCCCCCATATAAACTATTTGGGTAAATGTTTTTATAACCTGGTACAAGTTTTTCTTCATTAACTGAATACGCTGTTGGATAGTTTGAGTAGAGATCATGTGGTTGTAAGTTACCGCAAGGTTCACAAATAAATGGCAAATGTATTTTGCTTGTTTCTTTCATTTTCTCTTTACATTGACCTTGGTATGGACATTGCTTATCCTTCAACATACTATTAATTTTGAAAGAAATCAAGATTGTCATCTTTGTAACAACTGAAGGAGGTACAGGTCTGTGCCTTTGATGGCTTTTCCTGCCTAGTTATTGTATGAAAATAACAATTTCAGATTCCAACAACAAAGATGTACACAAGATGCGGCATCAGCAAGGCTATATCCCGTCAGACAATCGTAACTGCACAGTGGCCTTCATGTCGCAGTGTATGCCCCTCAGTAAGTGCAAGTACTCCTGCAAATCCATGGGTGCTGCGCGATTCCGCTGGTTCCACGAGCAAGGGTGCTGCGAGTGCATCAGCAGCGAGTGTCTAGACTACGGGAAAAGCACGCCAATGTGCCTCAACTGCCAATCTAAAAATGAGGTCGATGATGATGACGAGTTAGTGGATGGTGTGCAGGAAGACAACAGGAAGCACCGCAATAAAAATGACGACAAACCAGTTTTCAAAGAGAAGCTGTAAAAAAAAAAGTCTGGTAATGGTTAGGTGGAGGATGTGATGTTGTGACACTCATCTTGCATTTATGAATGAGATTAACATAGATTTACTCATACCACGATCTTGCAGTTTTACAATGGTCTGAACTTGCTAGAAAATTGTAGAGATCTGTCAGTGCAAATATCAGCAAGATGCCTTTTAGACCTGAGTGGTTTGTAAGACATTTGAGATTAAGTGTAAATTTCTTAGTCAGCATTTGTGTGTTTGTGTTAAAAGCATTAACTCTCTTGTCATGGTATTGCTTTAAGTTATATTGCAGGTACGATTTTACATATCAGCTGAATAGTGCAAAGACGAAGAGGGGGAAGTCTCTATTAACACACTGGAAAAATATTTAATTGTGCAATCTGCAGTGGAAATATTTAGTATTGTTGTCATAGTCAGGTGATTCACAGTGCTGTCGTCTGATTGACATAATACAGTGAGGTTTTGCTATTATTTCATTTCATATCATATCATTTGTCTAAACCAAATATTTCAGTCTTGAAGGCTATAAACAATTACATTGGAATATATATTTGAATATTATAGGGCTTTTGTTTTTAATATCGCATACAAACAGTTTTTATCAGATGTATTTACATTTAGATATATAGGTATACATATATATCAATTTTAAATATTCAAAGTACTTAAAATCGCAAAATATGCATATTTATAAAATGTTTGTGCTAGCTTTTTGTAGGGAAGTCTTAGTCCCATAAGTTTTTATTTTTTTCATACTTTTTCCTACCTTAAATGGGAGACTGAAAGGAAACGACTGCTAGAAATGTGGAAGTCATAGAGATTGCAAATGATTCCGAATTTGATTTTTATTTTCATAAACAGTTGTGATACACTGATTATTATGCCTTCAGCACCCTGAAATTCAGAGATGACTGGACATTTTCATTTGTTGTCAGCATGCCTGTGGCATTTCCAGTGATCTCTCAAACTTGGGGTGATCTGGAGTGGTAGGGGCCACGTATTACAAAATGTTTTCGAAATGGTTGGAAAACACTGAAACTACGTCTCCAGTCCTACTATTTGTGGCATCCCTGATGTATCCTTGATGTGTACTTGATGCTGAGGGGAATTGTATGATTGTTTTCAACACATTGTTTGCCAAGGTCAAGATCTGCCAGTGTTCAAGGAATTATATAAATAACATAACATGAACTTGGAAATATTTTATATAGAGGCTTTAATTAGATATCTTGTAGCCGGTGTAAGTGAGATGTATGAAACAGAAAGAACAACCCATTATACAGTTTGTTCATTGCTCCTAATTTCTTATGTTATAGTTCAAAGATAAAGGTATTTTTGTGACTAATAACGTTTTTCCTTTAAACTAAGTGGTAATAATTTGGATCTAAATTTTCACTCAGAACAATGAAAGTATCGATTATGGAATCACCAAGAAAATTTTGAACAATGACAAGTTATCAGTCTCTCAGAGAATATATTGATAAGTAAGTAGTATAGTAAGTATATACTGTCCTGTAGGTGCTGAAGTTTGTCCAATTTTGACAACTGCTGTTTGAGATTTAGTCTTCCAGTTAACATTTGAATATCTAGTCTACCATTTCAGCATTTAGAAACTTGGTGCCGTTATTAGACATGTTATTTGTGATCATGTTTATGATTATCAGTACCAGTATAATTGTGTCATACAAGTCTTTTAGATATCATAAACTATGAGATGAAATCATTTTTAAAAAGAGGTCTACAGACAATTTAGTATTCAGGCTATTCTGTAGATTGCCATAATTATATCATTTATTGACATAGTACCTGTGTATATCATCAAATGTGTATTATAACATACAAAATGCGGCAATAAATGTTGCTAGAGGAAATTGTTTTGTGTATTCCTTGAAATAAAAAAATATTACTTTCATTTTTTTATGAATGCACATATTCTCTGCCCATTACGCCTTAGTGTATTTAAGTTACATGGACCATTTTAGAATAGTTGGAACATGGAGGTTTACCTTCTATGGTTTGAATTTTAATTATTTTAATAAATAAATTAAAATTATTAAAGTAATTATGAAAATAATTTTTCCTGGCACCAGGTACAATTTGCCCGTGAGTATTAACCACCTACTTTGGGTCTTAAATATCCAATGAATAAACGTTTTGATAATTGCATATTTCATTTCTACCCCGGTAGGGGTGTCTTGGATTCCTCTCGGTCGCTCTTTAGCATGTAGAGGTAGAAAGCAGCTGCGGCTTCTTGCAACTTCTCTGAGCCGCAAAATGTTTTGGACAATAGTTGCTTGTTCTTTTGTTGTATTTATTATAATTTTGTATATACTGTCTCCTATTATAGCGCCAAAGGCGTTTCAGGTACAAGGTGCCCATGTTTTGGTGAGTTTGCTGCGCATGTCCCTACAGAGTACTGACTGCTAAATTTCAGAACTCGTCTTACTCAACTTGGCCACTTTAATTTACGTACTTAAGTATCTACTTCATGTAGAAATAAAACAAGTATATATCAGTGCTTACACTTGGGTTTTGGTGCTATGTCTTTGGAGATCGCTTGCTAAAGGCATGTGCACTAAAACGGATATTAATCTAAAACTGCTACTTCAATCATCAATATAGGGGTGAACTCCAGAATTCCACCACATAATCGTACAGTTTTATTTATAGGTTACAGGAGGTTCGAGTGGGATTGGTCTAGGTATTGCAAAGGCAGCAGCTAAAAAGGGAGCAAATGTAACACTAGTCGCTAGAAATCTTGTAAGTACTAGTAATAGATCAATTAATACTCCTCCCCCCCCCCCCCCCCCC